AACTGTATGCTGAATTTGATTTGAAGTTTTCATAGTTTGGAGTTCAATTTTCCTAAAATGTTAGTACACACAAGAGTAAAAACAAATCTTCCAAAAAGTATTAGAAGATAATTACACATAAAATAATAATATTTGAAATAATCAAAACTATACAAGTTGCAAGAATGTAACATATGCAAATAGCAACTTTCTTAACACTTACCACATCTGGAGTTAGGGTAGTATGTAGAGATCAACAAATAGCACAAACATGTTATCTTAGGATACTTTATGGACGTATATGTTTATGATATGCTCGTGAAACATCTTAAAAAAATCTCATTATATATCTGACTTGGAATAGAGCTTCTATATACTACGATGCTATAACATGCGACTCAACCTTGCCAAGTGTGCTTTTGAGTTGCCTCCGAAAAATTTTTAGGGTTTATGATAACCATAAAGGAATTGAGGTGAATCTTGAGAAAATCAAGGCACTAAAGGATATGGTGCCCTAAAAGATTATCAAGTTAATTTCTTGAGTGAGAATATCCCTCAGAGGGATTCTCACATAAAAGATCTCACTTCAATATCCATATCAGAATAATACCCTACAAGGATGGTGTAGGCTAGATCTCTTCTCTCAAATGAGTAGAAGAAAAAATACATAGATTTTCTATATAAGAATCATGATATTTTTGCATGGAGTCTAACATATATGCCTGTAATAGACTCTAAAGTGATTGTGAACTCCCTCAAAGCCAACCCAACATGCAAGCTAATAATCTAGAAGAAATAAATTTTGGGCAATATCATTAGCAAGCAAATGATCAAGAAGTTAGTAAGATTTTGGAAGCTAGATTTATACGAGAAGTGCACTACCCCACTTGGTTGGTGAGTTTCATCATAATACGAAAGGCAAGTGGAGCTTGGAGAATATGTGTAGACTATAGAGATCTAAAATAAAGTCTACCCAAAAGGTAGGTCTCCACTGCCTCGTATTAACTAGTTAGTTAAAACCACATCCAGACATCATATGTTAAGTTTTATGGATGCCTACTTTAGTTACAATCAAATAAAGAATGATCATATTGACGAAGAGGCAACATATTTTTGAATAGAGAAAGGGTTATACTACTATCTGGTTATGTTGTTCGGACTCAAAAAGGCTAGAGCTACATATATAAGAGCTACATATATATGCCTTATGAATATGGTTTTCAAAGATCCTATTGGATGCTTTATGGACGTATATGTTTATGATATGCTCGTGAAACATCTTAAAAAAATCTCATTATATATCTGACTTGGAATAGAGCTTCTATATACTACGATGCTATAACATGCGACTCAACCTTGCCAAGTGTGCTTTTGAGTTGCCTCCGAAAAATTTTTAGGGTTTATGATAACCATAAAGGAATTGAGGTGAATCTTGAGAAAATCAAGGCACTAAAGGATATGGTGCCCTAAAAGATTATCAAGGGAGTTTAGAGATTGAATGTAAGGATTGCAATGTTGTCTCATTCTTGGCACATTCAAGAGACAAATATCTACTATTACGGATCTGTTTTCATGGTTTATGATTTTAATTATAGCAAACACTTTTATTTCTCTATGATTGCCTTATCAACTGACATTTCAGGTCCACAAGATCAGACTATAATTTGGAATCAGCTCAATATTGGATAGACTAGGTCTGAGTCAATTTGCAACATTTTTCCTTTCATGAGTCTATTGTATTTGGTAATGCTTCTGATGCTTTGTAATCTTACTCATACTCACCTTGGAAGAATTTCTAACTGTTCCTTGGAGTTTAGTGTTTTTGGTAACATCTTCTGGGACGATATTTATATCAGCCT